TGGGATTTCAGGGTGGACTGGAGGCGGCTGAAGGTGCCATGCTTTTCGATTGAATTCCAAGTTGCTGGCTTGAGTCTTGGAGCAGGTAGTAGCTGGGAGACTGAGGGAGGAGCAGGCTGGGGTGGTGGAAGAAAAGTGAGGCAGGACTTGTGTTTCGGAGGTGTTATGAGTGAGGTGCTTCCAGGAACCCAACTAGTGAACCGCTGAGGGTGCAGTTAGATATATAAGCCCAGATTTAGTGCAGGAGAGAGTCAGAACTTGGGAGACCCGTTTGGGAATTGTCAAGTAGAGCTGGTACTCAAAGCCGTGGACCCACTGTGATCGACTCAGGAACAAGTGTAGATAGAGGTCCCAGGACTGAGCCCTGGGACAGACCACCGTTTAGTGGCAAAAGAGGAGGCAGATCCAGCAGAAGGGATGGAGGAAGAGCAGTTGGTGAGATGGAAGGAAAACCAGGAGCTCCGGGAGCCAAGTGGGAAGACCAGGTGTGCCCAATCCTCCTGAGAACCTGGGCGAGCTGGGGCTGAGGAACTCATCACTGACTCTGGAACGTGGGAGTCACGGGCCCAGGGTCTCGGTGGAGGGCTGGGGTCCAAGCGTCTTTGGAATGGGTTCGAGAGAGAAAAGGAGGAGTAGAAACTGAATCCAGACAACTCTTTCAAGGAGTTTAACTGAAAGGGGGGATAGAGAAGGGGAACCGCACCTGCAAAGGGATGTCGGGTGAAGAGAGGTAGCACCACAGCTGGCGGGTGCTCCGAGCGGGGCATTTCAGTTATGATTATTGTTATCATTATTCTCCTGTTCTAAACAGTGCTGCTGAATAAAGGCCCTATCAGGGTCTTGTTATTGAAAAGAAATGTCCTTGTTGTGGGTATGTGTTTTGTCAACATGACATCCTGCCCATCTGTGTATTGGTTCAACATTTCTGTTTTGTTGAAAGAGGGAAGGCTCTGACATTGTTCACTTGGGTTTGCTTCGCTGGCACCCCCCGGTCCCCTGTTCTTCAGAGCCCAGAGAGTACCCCCGAGGCCAGTGGGCTCAGGTCCCTCCCTGGCCAAACTTCTTAGCCCTGGCCCCATGGATCCCTCCACTGTGGTGAATTGCAGAGGTCTAAGTGTGGCATACGGTAGCCACACAGAAAGTTCCAGAAAGGCAGGGGCTGTGTCAGGCCCTGTCAACTCTTTCCTTCCCCTAGAACACCCCTCATGAGCTCCTGGGGACAGGAAGGGACCCCGTGAGTACCTAAGTATTGCACCAAGCAGCCAGGCCTTCATGAGCCAGGGTGCTGGCCAGGAGGCTGATTCCTGCCAGTTACACAGCTGGAGAGCTGTGGGCCAACCAGTCCTGCCCTGGAGACAGTGGGCCAGGGCCCTGGAGCAGCCAGCAAGGAAGGGCTCAAAGGGCCAGGTGCTCAGCAGTCAAAGACCAAGGCTGGCTGGACTGGGCCAGACACCTGTGCCCTGAAACACCTGCAGATTTTTGGAAGGCAAAGTGCTCTCAGCTGCCGTGGATGAGTTCTTTGGAACCTTTATGATGACCTGTCTACACCAGGCCTGGGTAGGCCCCAGGGAGCATGTGTTCTTCTAGACAAGCCCCCTGCACACACACGGACACACGCACACACACACGCACGCACACACGCACACAGCCTGAGCCACACGCTGGCACACATTCGAACAAGCCCCGGGCGTGAGCAGGGCATTCCTACAGCTGTTGCCCGCCCCCTTCTACCCACCCCCCAGGGGGAGGTGATGTCCCCGAGGGAACCGAGGTCTCTGGTCCCATCTTAAGCGCCGCTGGATCCCACGTGACATCAACAGCCCCCGTGCGGCTGCTGCCGGCAGTTCTGGGCTGGGCGCTGGGGCCGGGCCGGCGCCAGGCACTGACACTTCGGTCCTTGTTAGGAGAACAGAGGGAGGCTCTCTTGTCCACGGTCTGTCCTCCGGCTCCAACTGCTGGTTCTTTCAGTGGCCTCTCCTCGGGCTGCGCAGGTACGTGGGGCCGGAGAGGCCAGGGCCCGGCGAAGGGGTCAGCCCAGGAGCGGGTGTGGCAGCGTTGTGGGCCCTCAGGGGGAGCACAGACCCCAGGGCGCTGGCTGAAGCCAGGCCTCACTTCCAATCAGGCAGCTCTGCAGCTCGTGCTCTCAGGGCCCCACGGGGCTGGGCCTTTTGGAGCAGCCTGGGCTAGGGGATTCCCTCCTTTCCCCTGGGGTCACTTTGTCAGCGCCCAAGAAGGCCATGGGGGTGGTTGCGCTAGGATCCTCCCTTGTAAAGATGGGTGGTTTTTACCCAGAGGGGCTAGGCTGCAGCCCAGGTCCCCCAGTGGGTCAAGGCTGTGGTCCTGGGATGTGCAGCTGGTCCTGGATGTCCAGCCTCCATGAGCAACTGAGTTCTTAGGTGGGATCTCAGGTCTTAGCCTTGGCCTTCCAAGCAGGGGTGTGCCATGGGCATCCTGAGCCAGGGTCCGGACACACCAGCCTCCTTCACGCTGTAGGCAGGGAGCAGGAAAGACACTGTGCTCCTAGCTGCATAGACCAGCTGATCACACTCTTCAGACAGACACTAGCCGGGCATGGGTCTTTTCTTCATGGTTCTGGCCCAAGGCCCCCAGGGCAGCTGCCATTCTAGGGGCATTAAGTAGAAGTCCATGTGGCAGGGAGATAATAGTCAACACAACACAGATCCCAGCTCAGGGCTGTCCACAGGAATTCAGGGTTGCATATGCCTGTCTGGGAGCCGGGGGAGCCCAGCCCTCCAGCCCTGGCCATGCTGGACTTCCAGAGCTGCCCTGGCTCACAGGGATCTTGCCGTACTGGCAGTCCCCAACCCTTGAAAAGATCCAGCCTGGGAAGGATACCCCTGGCCATTCCCCCTGGCTCTCTCTTAAGATATCTGATTAGAGAAGCTGGGTCCAGGGTACATCAGTTCTTGTCCCTTGCTGGGGTCATTGGCCTTGGAGATGCTCAGACTGTGGCAGGTGCACAGGGTTGGGGAGGAGTGGAGAGCGCAGCAGTGCCTAAAGCCCTAGACAGATGACACTCCTTCCCCCAAAACAGCTGTCTCATGCCTGGTCCCTCTTGTGTCCCCAGAGCCCACCTGATTGCTGCTTATAGAATGGACTCTAGCCGGGCCGGGACCCCTAGTCCTCAGGTGAGTGGGTCTTGGTTCCCCTTTCCACCACTAGGGGGCTCACTTCCTCCACAGGGGAAATCTGTGGAAGCTCAGGCCAGCCTGATAAGCCCACCTAGAGCAGGACTGGGGGGCTTACAGGGGTCACTGTGAGCTCACCGAAGTGGGCCGTTTGCAGGGTAAACAGGGCACAGAGTTGGGCAAGAGCTTCAAGAAGAAAATGGGGTGTTAGGAGAAGTAGATGAGATGGTGGATGGTTGGGTGGGCTGGTAGACAAGTGGAAAGAAGGAAGGAGGAAGCCTGAGGCAGGCTATTAGAGAAGGGAGCAGGGCCTAGGCCAAGGGAAAGTGGGGTGCTGAGGATCCTAACACACAGTCACTGCTGATCTTACTGAATTTTCTGTAAATGTCTTTAGCCCTCAAGGGCCAATGGGAACATCAACCTGGGACCTTCAGCCAACCCAAAGTGAGTTCTGGTCTCTCAAGCAACTTTCCTCCCTGGCTCCCCTCATACCTGACTCCTCTCATACCTGGCTCCCCTCTTCTTGAGAATCAGATCCAAGTTCTCTGGTCTACCATCAAGACCCTCTGCCACCTGGGACCCAGGACTGTGCCCCAGCTTTATCTCCCACTAATTCCCCAGCCTTTGCCCATGCTGAGTCACATGCCTCAAATGCACCCTAAAGTCTGCATTGTTAGCAATTCCCCACCCTTCAGGCCCTTCTCAGGTCTGGGGGGCCAGATCTCTTGCCTTCTATGCAGTTGTGTCTGGTTTTCTCCCCAACTTGCCTGTTGGTTACTCGACTGTGGATCCCTAGGGGCAGGGGCCAGTCCCCCAAGCCCTCTTGGCTGGGAGAACATGGCATGCTTCAGTGGGGAGGAGGCTTGGCTCTTGGAAAGCTCCCTCTATTCCCCAGCTTCCAAGTTAAAGAGAAGCCTGGATTTGATCTCAGGAGCCAGGTTTCCCAAGTTCACAAATGCTGACCTGTGCTCTTCCCCTCCCCCCAGCGCCAGGCCCACCGACTTTGACTTCCTGAAAGTCATTGGCAAAGGGAGCTACGGGAAGGTGAGTGACACAGTGAGGTTGGGAGGCCTGGGTCTTCCCTCCCCTAGCCTCCTCCACCCTCTGCCTGTCGCTTGCATGTGCAAAGCGGGAGCTCACAACATGCAAAATCACGGACTCGGGGCCAGAGCCAGGGGCTGATGGAGAAATCCGAAGCTCAGAGGAGTCGGCCCCTGCGGGGCCTTGCGTTTGTGCTTCTGCTCAGGTCCTGCTGGCCAAGCACAAGTCTGACGGGATGTTCTATGCGGTGAAGGTGCTGCAGAAAAAGTCCATCTTAAAGGAGAAAGAGGTACCAGAACTTGTGCTCAGGCATTTCCCATCCTGCTTCTCGACCCCAGCGTAAGGTGGTTTCCCAAGATGGGTCCCAGCTCTGAAGGACCCATGGGGCTGGGTGCAGCTGTGGTCATAGCAGACATAGGCCCAGGTGGTGCTGAGGGTACTGACCCTTCTCAAGGGAGCTGGGCCAACTGGCTCACCTAGAGGGCTTTTGGGAGGACCCCGTCCCAGCCCTCCACCTTCCCCTGGGAAATTCAGGGCTCCAAGGCCAACAAGCCCTCTGCCCTGTCTAGCTGCCAGCCTCCCTAGATGTGCGGCCTTTATACCTTCCAAAGGCCCCTCAAGGCACAGCCATCCTGGGTTCTAGATTCTTCAGCTGACTTGAGTCTCTTTAATCCAGCCGCCTGAGGGGGAATAGAGCAGGCCCTGAGAGAGGACTATCAATCAGAGGACTCAGGCGAGGGAATTAATGTTAACAAGGACATCGTGAGGGCACATAGCACATAGGGGAGGTCTTTAGGAAGGAGGTGGCCTGGCAGCTGGCCTCAAATGTGGGGTCCCCAGGCAGGAAAAACAGCATGAACAAAAGCGTGAATGTGGCTCCTTTTACGCAGTAATCACGTATGCTTGCCTTATCGCCCCAGGGGAGGGGGACAGAGGTTTCTGACCCAGGGGCTGGAGCTGCACCTATGAGGCTGGGGATGAGGCTGACCATTCAGAAACCTGGCTACTAGGCTCTGAGGGCACTAAGGAGCCACAGTGGGTATTTGAGCAGGGGCATGAGAAGGTCCTGGGCAGGGCAACCCCCATGAGTGAGTGAGGCCAGGTGGGCTATGCCAGGGTACAAGGGGCTGTGGTGGGTTGTGACATGGGCCCCTGCCTATGACTCCACAGCAGAACCACATCATGGCAGAGCGCAGTGTGCTGCTGAAGAATGTACAGCACCCCTTCCTGGTGGGCTTACGCTACTCATTCCAGACGCCTGAGAAGCTCTACTTCGTGCTCGACTATGTCAACGGGGGAGAGGTGGGTGGACCCCTAGGGAGGCTTCCCTGGGCTGGGCTCTTACGTGCCCGGTGTGTACCAGATTCTGGAATGATCTCCCCTCATCCTCACAACAGACCCATTTTGTAGCTGAAAAACTGAGGCTCAGGAGGTAACTCCCTTGCTCAAGGCCGCCCAGCCCGTCCCTGACAGAGCCAGGATTTGAATGCAAGTCTGTTTGGCTCCTGGCCACAGCATTTCTTGACTGCCCCCAAGCAAGCCTGCCCAGACTCACTTCAGCACACCTGGGCAAGGTCAGAGTTAGTGGAGCTCTGCGGTCAAGATTTCCAATGCCCCTTTTTTATACCACAGGCCCCTGGGTGGGGGTGATTGGTCCCTGTGGTAAACAGAGACCCAAGGCCACTTGGTGACCCAGAAGCACAGCTGGGATAAGCTGGGCTCTGTCCTGGACTTCACTCTGTCTCTCTGGGCAGGTGATCCCAGGTTGAACCTGTGTGACCTCATGACTTTTGGCCTGATACCAAGAGGGGAGTTTTTGCTCAGGATCCCTAAGTCCTCTGGTAGAGGTAAAGGCCTCTCCAAGGCCAGTAAAACAGCCCAAAGCAATTGGCCCATGAGCAGACCTAGGCTGGGCTCAGTTTGACAGCTCTGAGCATCTTATTGCCCAGGGGGGAGGAAAAACACATCTTTGAATGACCCAGGGCCAAATGGCCGCTCTGCCAGTTATGAGCTACATGGCCCTGGGCAAGTCACCCGACCCCTCCCAGTTTCCTCTTAAGTGAAACTGGCGTCGTATTTGATACCTTAAAGGTAGTCATGAGAATTAAATGAGGTAAGAGATGTGAAAGGGTCTGGCTTCGAGCCTGGAAGCCGGTAGCTGCTCAGTCCATGCAAATTCACGTCTCCTGCTGACACTTTGGACACCCACAACTGCTCTGTAGGGTGGGGGCCAGCATGCCCCCCCCTTTTTTTAAGTAGGCTCCACGCCTGGCACAGAGCCCAACATGGGGCTTGCACTCCTCACAACTCTGAGATCAAGGTGTGAGCTGAGATCAAGAGTCAGATCAGATGCTTACCCGACAGAGCCCCCCGGTGCCCCAAGCATGCCCGTTTCCATCTGAGTACATCGCAGCTCAGAGAACAGTTGACGCGGCCAGTTGCCCCGCACCCTGCCCTCTAGCACCCAGAGACCATCTCTCACACCTCCTCCCCTTCCAGCTCTTCTTCCACCTGCAGCGGGAACGCCGGTTCCTGGAGCCCCGGGCCCGGTTCTACGCCGCCGAGGTGGCCAGCGCCATTGGCTACCTGCACTCCCTCAACGTCATTTACAGGTGAGGCCCGCCTGTGGCTCAGCCAGGCCTGGCCCTTCTGCCACAAATACCAGGGCTTGTGTGGACCCCTAGGTCCTGGTGAACTTGGCCCTTTGTCCGAGGAGGACGGCCCAGCAGTGGGAGTAGAGTAGGAGCTTCCTTTCTGGGATCAAGTGCCCATTCTCCTTGGATTCTCCCTCCACATCTCTGTGAGCCTCCAGCAATAGTCCTCCTGCCAGGACCCCGGCTTCCCAGCTCTCCTCACTAAGTGAGACCTCACGGTGCTCGTTTCTCTTGTTTTCTGCAGGGACCTGAAACCAGAGAACATTCTCTTGGACTGTCAGGTTGGTGTGTGTGTGTGTGTGTGTGCGTGCATGCACGTAGCTGCACATATGTGCTGTGTGCTTATGCGTGTGTGTGCAAGCATTGTACCCGCGTGCATATGGGTAGGGATGCATTCGAGTATGTGTGCACATACGTGTGTGTGTGTGTGTGTGTGTGTACAAGGTCTGTGGGGGGTAGGGGTGGAGCCAGGTAGAGGCTCTTGGACTTTGTAGTCTTTCCATGTCTTAGACTGGGTCCCCTGGAAACAGATGGAGTGTTGAGTGCAGATGGTTATTGGGGAATCTCTTATGAGATCCAGTTTTAAGGGGGTGAGGAGGCAGGATTGGGCAGAGGAGGAAGCCCACCTGCATTGTGGTTGCAGTTGAGGAGGCCTTGGCTGATCTTACAGGGGTGGGGAGGGCCCAAGCTGGAGCAACTCTTTAGAACCGTTCCAAATTGAGGCAGGGAGGCTGGGCTTTTGTGCCCCTGCATCGACCAGTCACTGGGTGTGGATTGCCCCTTGGGAGGGGTGTAACTTTGGGTGAGGGCAACATCCCAGAAGTGGGGGGATGGGCATGACAGCTCCTAAAGGGGGGATCTAAGCAGAGCCCCACAGTATCCACTCACTCCATGACCTCCACCAGCCACCCACCTGCCCAGCTGCCCCAAGATATGGTTCCTTTCTGAGACACCAGCCCTCTGTCAAGGGAGCTGCCACCACCAGTCCCCTTCAGCAAGGACATTCCTGGAGCTGCCATGTTGTAGGGCATGGGTCTAAGTCTGTGATAAGCTGGGGTGGGGGGCAGACAGTGGAATGCTATCCCCCTACCTTGGCCCTTGTACTGCTCCTGGCATCCAGTCTAGGAGCTCTGTGTCTCTAAGTGGAGCCCATAGCCTGGGTCAGAGCCTATAGCTGACTCCACAGCTGCTGCCCTGGGGTGAAGCATCTGGGCTTTGGGGTTAGGCCTGACCATACCTTTAGCTTAGACCACCCTCCAGCCCCCGCCCACCCTCCTCTGCAGGGACACGTGGTGCTGACGGATTTTGGCCTCTGCAAAGAAGGGGTAGAGCCTGAGGAGACCACATCTACATTCTGTGGCACCCCTGAGGTAAGCCAAACCTTGTAGGAGAGGTCAGAGGCCAGGCCATGAGTGGTTGAGCTTCAACTCCTGCTTAGAGCCAACAGGTTATACCGGGGTGGGGGAGGCTCACTCCTGTCACCCAAGCCCTTGCCCTGAGCTGGCTGTGTACTCTGCCTTGGTTTCCTCGTCCGTGTAATGGGGGCACCAGCTCTGGGGGCTGCTGGGGAAGCTCTGCAGCAATGCAGTCCTATAGAAATAGAAATAGCCAGGGCACCTGGGTGGCTCAGTCGTTGGGCGTCTGCCTTTGGCTCGGGTCATGATCCCGGGGTCCTGGGATCGAGCCCCGCATCGGGTTCCCTGCTCGGTGGGAGGCCTGCTTCTCCCTCTCCCGCTCCCCCTGCTTGTGTTCCCTCTCTCGCTATCTCTCTCTGTCAAATAAATAAATAAAATCTTAAAAAAAAAAAAGAAATAGAAATAGCCATGCAAACTGTATACTCAATGTAAAGTTTCCCAGTAGCCACATTTAAAAAGTAAAAAGAAAGGTGGAATTCATTTTAGTAATATATTTTAATTGACCCAATATATACAAAATATTGTCCTTTCAACATACAATCAATATAAAATTGTTGAGATAGTTTATTCTTTTTTTTCTAACTAAGTCTTTGAAATGAGATCAATCTCATTTCAAATGTTTGGTAGCCACGTGTGATGAGTGGCTACCATATTGGACAGCCTGCCCTACAGGGTGAAGTCCATGTGCGACAGGAGGGCTTGGCCTGACAGTTAAGATCAGGGCTTGCAAATGTAAAATGCTGGTCCACTCCCCTTTTCCAGCCGCCAAGAGCAGGGGTTGCTAAAATCTGTGGGTCTCAGCAGTAATTCATTCATGTCTATGTGTCCTGCCAAAGCCTCCCTGGAGCCTTGTTGGTGAAAACCCTTCCCTGGACTCCCACCAGTGTTGACCCTTGGACCTTGGATCCGAAGGGGCTCCCAGTTGATAGATATCTGGGTGGGGGCTGGGAGGCAGGGGCTGCAGGACTGGGAAGCTCCTCCTGATCTGGCGTGGGACAGGACATTAGCTGCTCTGTTGTTCTCTGTATGCTAGAAAATCTAGATTTCAGATCTCAGCTGGGCCTCCTCCATTTGGTTTTGGGGCAGCTGATGGACGGCTGATCTCTCTGAGTAAGAGCCATTGTCTGTGTTTGCATATGGCAGGGTGTCCCCTGGACAGAGCTGGTGTCCCAAAGCCTGACAGCCCAGCCATCCCTTCCTTGGACATTGCCAGGGGCAAGGAGCAGGGCATAGGACACCCTGGATTGTGTAGGAGACATGGGGCCCCAACACGCCATCTCTTCCATAACTCAGCCACTGTTGTGATGCCAGGAAGCACAGACAAGAGTACCCATGGTTGCTCCCATTATTCAAGGCCTACACACATATCATATTACACCTAGATTATCACAGAGCCTTAAAACAGCCCCCAGGGAGGGATCCTGCAACCCCATTTTATGGAGGAGAAAATCAGCGTCCTGGGAGGTTAAATGAGTCCTACATAGGGCTCAGGTCTGGGTGACTTCCTGCCCCTCCCAGACTCACACAGTCTCTCAAAAGGCTCTGTCGGTTGCTGAGACCCCTTTCCTTAGTGGCAGAGATGCCAGGCTAAGGGGTCACCAAGCCCTTGGGTTTGGCAGAAAGCACAGCTCTGCCTCGGATCCTCTTCTTGTTGGAAGGCACAGCTCTGTGGCATGCATTCATCTGTCAATATGAGCTCACATGTCACCTCCTCTTTCCTGATTTCCTACCCATCTCTCTGTCACTGAGGTTTCCAGTACAAGTATGGGCCACGTTTACTTACACTTCACCATTAGTCTCCCCAGTGCACTCTGAGTACTCACAGGGCTTTCCTGTTCCCAGGACACCAACTGGATGCTTTTGTGCAAATTAGATAAAGGTACCCCCTTGGGCACATTAATTAGAAAAAGTTACTCTATTAAACATCAATAAAGTTGCCAGATATAGCCCTATACTAGCATTATGGCTTGGTGAGTTAATCACAGCCAGGCTTACATCTCCCTATATCCTTTTGGCTGGTACTTTTGTATGGTGCACCACTTATACAACTATACAAGGCAGTCCTGCCTGATCTCCCCTATGTCTCCAGCACATTGGCAAAGGGTCACGCACAGAGTTGGCCTTTGGCAAATGGATGCTGATTGAACATATGCACAGCCAAGTGAATATGACAGCAGGATCAACCCCTGGTAATCTTTTCTTCTAAGTACCCTGCTTACAACTGGGGAGACTGAGGCCGACTATCTTTCATATACGTGTATTTCTCCTCAACAGTACTTAGCTCCAGAAGTGCTTCGTAAGGAGCCTTATGATCGGGCAGTGGACTGGTGGTGCTTGGGGGCAGTTCTCTATGAGATGCTGCAAGGCCTGGTGAGTGGGGTGTAACCATCTGCAAGGGACATGTGGCTCTGGGAAGAGATGGGGGTGGATCTCTCCCTTGTGTGGCCTCCTCAGGCTCCTCAAGGAACTGAATGAACCATCTCTCTACTCCAACCTCAAAAAGATGATGTCAGGATTATGCATGTTCCTTCAATAGCATTAGTTCAGCACTTTACAACACACCATCTCATATGTTACTCCCTTAGCACCTAGAAACAGCCTTTGGAGGCTGCCACTATAGGAAATGGAGTTGTTCTTATTTACTGAGAGGGAAACTGAAGTCCAGAAAGGTCTCAGTGCTGGTAGTTTGTGGAACCAGCCCTGGGGCCAGTCCTAGGCTGCCTGCTCAGCATAGGCGTTGTGTAGACTCACCCCAGCAGAGGTGTTGCTCTGGGCTGGCTTCGCCAACAGAGCGTGGGGGATATGAAAGAATGGGCTCCAGGGAGTCAGGAAAAGGAAGAGCCAGCAGAGGAGGCAGGATGAAGAGCCTCAGGAAAGAGTGGGCTCTGGGCACGGAGTGGGGCCTGGCTCTCTTCCTGGCCATGTGGCTTAATCTCTCTGAGCCTTGTCTTATCCAACAAATTACTACCCATCTTCAAAGACGGCTGTGCGGCTGGGCTGGAATGATGAGGGGGAAAGTGTTCACTTTGCAAAGTGCAGAGTGGGTGCCCAAGCTGGGTGAAGAGAGCTGGGAGAGGGGGTGCTCCTGGGAGGCCCCCTCTCAGCCTTCCCAGCAGTCCTGTCCTCTGGGCCGGAAGCCGAGGTCTCTGTCTCTCTCCAGTCTGCGGCGTGACCCATCGCACAAGACACGGTCTGGCTGAATCCTTCCATAACCTGGCTTTGCTCCAAGTCTCCCTGAGACCTTTCCCCACTTTAGCATGGATGAGCCTCGAGCTTTTCTCTCTCTCTCTCTCTCTCTCATCAGCCACCATTCTACAGCCAAGACATGACCCAGATGTATGAGAACATTCTGTACCAGCCACTACAGATCCCCGGGGGCCAGACTGTGGCTGCCTGCGACCTCCTGCAAGGCCTTCTCCACAAGGACCAGAGGCAGCGGCTGGGCTCCAAATCAGACTTTGTAGGTGAACTGCGAGCAGAGCACTGGTCCCTAATGGGGGCGCTCAGCTTCCTGCAGAAGCAGCTTAGAAGCACAGTGATGTGCATCCAGCTGCCCTCCAAAACCAGGCATTGTGAACTCCTTCATTTGGAAATTCATAGCTGCTACTGCTTGATTGCTTCCTTCAGTCCAGTTCTTTTATTCAACCAATGTTTACTGAGCACCTACTATGTGCCAGGCATTGAGTTAGGTTCTAGCGATTCAATGGGGCTGGGTCTCTGCCCTTACTAAGTTGACTGGGGGAGGGCAGACAGCAAACAAACATTATGGTATATAATTATTGCAGAGTGTGACAAGTACCAGGAAATAAATGAACAACGAGCCAAGACAGACAGTAATGGGAGGGAGTGGATTTACACTGGCATGGTGAGGAGGTCCACTCTGAGGAGGTGACAACACAGGGCACAGCATGTGCAAGGGTCCTGTGGCAGGAACAAGAAGCGTGGTCCACTTTGGCGGGTTTTGAGCAGGGGTATGGCAAGACTCAATTTCAGTTTTAAGAAATTCCTCTGGTTTCTGTGCAGAGAGAGGACTGGACTTGGTTTTTGCCAGTGCCAGGCTGGGCATTCAGGATATAGAGATGAGTAATTCACTCTCGATTCCTGTAATGAGTTCATGATTTCCTTTTTATTAAAGTAGTACTCGAAAAATAATCTTACATTCTCTATTCAACAAAAGATAATTTGAATTTATAAAAGGAAGACCACAGTGCTTTTCTCCCTGGAAGTTTGCTTTCTCTTCTAGCAGAGTGGTTGTGATGCACAGCCAGACTACCTGGGTTCAGATCCCTCCTCCACCTTCCTAGTCCTTCCTGGTTGCAGGACCTTGGGCAATTTGCATAACTTCTCTATGTAAGCTTCAGTTTCTCCATCTGCAATAATAACACCTAGCTCACAGCTGCTATAAAGATAATGTGAATTAATATATGCAAAGCACTTAGGCCAGTGCTAAGTGTTGGTACCCATAGCCACACATGCTGGATACCATGAAGTGTAACAACATTTAGGGTGTTTGCCTACCCATCCCTGGCCAGCTTAAAGAAGGGGACTTTTATTTTATTTTATTTTATTTTTTATTTATTATTTATTTATTTATTTATTCATGAGAGACAGAGAGAGGCAGAGGCAGAGGGAGAAGCAGGCTCCGTGCGGAACAGGGAGCCCGATGCGGGACTCCATCCCAGGACCCTGGGATCATGACCTGAGCCAAAGGCAGACGCTTAACCAACTGAGCCACGCAGGCGCCCAAGAAGGGGACTTTTATGAAGACTGGTGCCCTTCTTCTAAGTGGAAATTTGCATCTTAAAAAATATGTATGATTTTTCAAATAAGGTATACATTCCCATAGATCAAAATCCAAAGGATATGAAGAGAAAGTCCCTCTAGTCACCCAGTTCCTTAATTTAAAGGCAACCATTGTTATCTGTTTCTTGGGTACTCAAGATATTTTGGATCTGGCTTTTTAAGAAGCGTGCAGGGCATGAGGTGGGGAGTGGTTATGATGTAGGGAGCTGGAGAATCATTCCTTGCGAAACACAGATAGAGAGGGTCCCACTGGGATAGGAGGAACTTGATGCTGACATTGGCTTAGATTAGGAAAGAAGTAGTGAATGAGGCCCAGGGCTGAGTCCTAAGTTCTGGGCCTCCAGGAACCTGCAGCTTTTCTTGAGGCTTTACTTCCTTCACCTTCCTTACTGAGCTGATGTGGTCTATTTTTCTGGTTTGCATTCTAGAAGAATCAAGATGCACTGAGGCAGGTGGGTGGGGTGGCAAGATCCTCTGGGAACCCCAAAGGCAAGTTCTGCAATCTTGTTCACTGACATACCACCACAGCGTCCCATGGTGCTGGCATAGAGTAGGCGCTCGGTAAATAGTTGAGGAATAAATGAATGCTATGGGGGAGAAGGGTTTGGGTTCTAGATGTGGCGAAGGGAAGAGACCTGGCTGCAGAACAGCCCTTTGTCCCAGGAAACCAGCTGGAAGTATGAGTTACTTTCCCAGTAAAGGTTTTAGGGCTTGACAGCCAGTGGCCAATAGATTTGGAGCTCTCAGACATGGGAGGTGGGGGGGTGGGGAGGAGTGCTTTGGGGAGGGCTACTTGTGATCAGCACCTTCTTCCTGCAGCTTGAGATAAAGAACCATGTATTCTTCAGCCCCATAAACTGGGATGACTTGTACCACAAGAGGCTGACTCCACCGTTCAACCCAAATGTGGTAAGAAGTCACTGTGTTCCAGATTCTGGATTTCTGGGGCCGGTGGGAGCTTGGAGGGGATCCGGGCCAACTCTTTTTCTATAGGTGGGAAAACCAAGGGCCCAAGGCCACACGGTAAGTCAGAGGCAAAACAGGGTCTAGACCCCAGAAGTCCTGACTGCCGGTCCAGCTCTGTGTGATGAGTCACGCCACCCCCCTTCATTCTCAGCACCAATAACCTTTATTGAAGAGCCCTTTACACTGTTTAAAGCACTCTCTGGGGGCTCCTGGCTGGCTCAGTCAGTGGAGCATGCGACTCTTGATCTCAGAGTTGAAGGTTCGACTCCCATGTTGGGTGTAGAGACTACTTAAAAATAAAGTCTTAAAAAAATAAGTAAATAGGGGCACCTGGGTGGCTCAGTCAGTTGGGCATCTGCCTTCAGCTCAAGTCATGATCCCGGGGTTCTGGGGTCAAGCCCTGCATGGGGCTCCCTGCTCAGCGGGAAGCCTGCTTCTCCCTCTCCCTCTGCCTGCCGCTCCCCCTGCTCGTGCTCTCTTATTTATTTATTTGACAGAGAGAGACACAGCGAGAGAGGGAACACAAGCAGGGGGAGTGGGAGAGGGAGAAGCAGGCTCCCCACCGAGCAGGGAGCCTGATGTGGGGCTCTATCCCAGGACCCTGCGATCATGACCTGAGCCAAAGGCAGACGCTTAATGACTGAGCCACCCAGGCGCCCAATAAATCAAATCTTTAAAAAAAATAAAAATAAGTAAATAAACCCCTCTCTGTCACATAGCAGATCCAGACGGAACCAAGCCCTGTAAAACTTTTTTTCTCCTAATAATAAAAACGACATGTATTCATTATAGAAGGTGTGTAAAACAGAGTTTAAAGCAGCAGGGAGGAAAAGCTTATTATCTCGCTGCCCAAGAGAAATTGCCACTGGCATATTCCTTCCTGTCTTTTTCTGTATGTTTTTACATAGGTCATACTTTATACATATAGATATCTTCTCCCCTTACCTTTCTTTTCTTGCTAGAAACAATCTCATTATTTCCCCCAAATCATATAAACCTTTCTAAGTATCATTTTAAATGGCTACATAATATTTCAACCCTCTGTTGGTGATATAATTTATTCAACCATGCTCCTAATGGTGAACTTTAGGTTATTTATCATTCTTTCTTTATCATAAAAGTACCGATGAACACCCTTAAGTGTATATCTTTGCCTTGGGTTCTGATTATTTCCTAAGATGGATTCCAGGTGGGAATTACCAGGTCAAAGAATGTGAACATTTTTAGGTTTTTTCTTTTTTTTTTTCTTTTTAAATTTTAGGTGATCTCATGGGGCACCTGGGTGGCTCAGTCGCTAAGCGTCTGCCTTTGGCTCAGGTCATGATCCCAGGATCCTGGGATCGAGTCCCACGTCGGGCTCCTTGCTGAGCAAGGAGCCTGCTTCTCCCTCTGCCTGCCTCTGTCTCTCTCTCTCTCTGATAAATAAATAAAAAAAAATCTTAAAAAAAATAAAAAATAAATAAATTTTAGGTGATCTCTACACCCAATGTGGGGCTTGAACTCAAGACCCTGAGGTCAAGAGTCACTTGCTCTCCCCAGCTGAGCCAGCCAGGCACTCCCTAGGCTCTTGATTCCTACTGCCTTAACTGTGCAGTGGGGAGTAAAATCCACTTCCTGTCAACAGGGTCGACTAGAGAATTGTCATCTTCCTCTCTGCAACGGGTGCAATTGTTACTGTTTTTAGCTTTGCATATTTGTTAAGTAAAACATGGCATCTCATATTGTTTTAATTTCTTCTATAGTGAAGGTGGCTAGTGTTTAATTAGTGCTGTTAATTAGCACTAATACTAATTAGCGGTGGTAGTATACATGAAAGGAGCCCCATTTGAAGCAGACATTGGAGGTTTACTCAGCCACCCGCAGAGTGTTCAGCAGTGTCAAGCTGCTTCCATCCATGTACTTTGCACACCTCAACACTGCCAATGTTTGCTATTTACAGCTCGCCTTTCGTGAATTACCCATGCATGAATGTCTCTTTGAGCACCAGTCTTGACAACAGTTGCCAGAATACACTCAGTCCAGGTAGCTGAAAAGTTTCTTTATCTGCGGGTGTAAAAAAGACCCTGATGATAATATTGAATGTACACCCTGGAGAGAGAATAATATAAAAAATGCTAGACAGGGAGGTAATAGGATGCGATGAGTGGACTTGAAAGTAAGACATACTGGGAGTGAATTCCTGGTTCTGTCACCTACCACTGTGAGACCTTGAATAAGTATCTTTAGCATTGATATCATTTGTAAAAAACAGAAAACATGTGTCTTGTCTAGGACCACACAGCTAACAAGAGCCAGGGCCAGGATCTACACTCTGGTCTCAGAATGCTGGTCCCTGAGCCGGGACCACTGTGCCCTGTGGACTTCTTGAGAAGTTGGAAACCATGGTTTTTTTTTTTTTTTTTTTTAAAGATTTTATTTATTTATTTGACAGAGAGAGACAGTGAGAGCAGGAACACAAACAGGGGGACAGGCAGAGGGAGAAGCAGGCTCCTTGCTCAGCAAGGAGCCTGATGTGGGACTCGATCCCAGGACCCTGGGATCATGACCCGAGCCGAAGGCAGACGCTTAACCGACTGAGCCACCCAGGCGTCCCAACCATGGTCTTTTTGGTTCTGCAACCTAAGGCTTGCATACTCAAGCAGATATGCAGACCTTTCCACTTGCTCACCTGCTCACTTCAGAAAACCCGGGTGGCCTAGTATTCTCCAGAGACTGTGCCTTCCTTAAAAGAGGCTGATTCATTTAGCTCATGCTGCCCAACAAGCCACCCCCTAAACAAGGTGGCTTAAAACAATTTTGTATTTCACTCCAATTCTATGGGTTGGCTGGGTGAGTTTTTTGGCCCGTGCCAGGCCAGCTGGTCTCTGCTGGGCTCTCTCATGTCAGGGATCTAGAACTGCCTCACTCAAATGCCAGGGAATTGGCCAGCAGCTGGGGCAACTGGATTCTCCTTCTAAGGCCTCTCCTACTCTAACAGGCTTGCCTGGGCTTGTTCACATGGTGGATAGGGTTCCAAGTGCAGTAGGAGAGAACAACTCCCAATGTGTGTTTCTCAAGCCTTGGCTTGCTTCACATCTGGTAACATCCCATTGTCCCAAACAAGTCGCATGGCTAACCTGTATTAAACCCATACCATGTTAAAGGTATGGAGAGCTAGACTCCACCTCTGGATGGCAAGTGGAGGACTTATGACCATTAAATCTGATGCACAGGTCTTCCTCCAAAATGGCAAAAGCCAGCCAGTCACTCTGCTACCATATTACCTTATTTTATCTTCTTCATAAGGCCTATCAACACCCCAGATTGTCTTTTTGTCTATTTGTGTACATGCTCATTATCAGTCTTCTTCATAAGGCCTATCAACACCCCAGATTGTCTATTTGTGTGCATGCTCATTATCAGTCCTCCCACCCTCTACATAATATAGGCTCCATGAAAGCAGGGGCCCACTCTATTTTGTTCTCCTGTATTTCCAGTGCCAGGAACAGTGCCTGGTAGGCATTCAGTAAGTGTATATTGACTAGACTTGTCAGAGGGTTGGTGGGGCACAGGCAGGGTGCCAGAGGTTAGAGGAATTGATATGTGGTTAGTGGGCCACGTGGAATAAGATGACTAATGCAAACACATGCGTAAGTGACAGGTAAAGGTGGGTGTCCATGAGGCCCTCAGAGGGGAGCCCTGACATCCCTCTCAGGGATTGTGGTTTTTTTTTTTTTTTTTAAGATTTTATTTATTTGACAGAGACACAGTGAGAAAGGGAACACAAGCAGGGGGAGTGGGAGAGGGAGAAGCAGGCTTCCCGTGGAGCAGGGAGCCTGATGCGGGGCTCGATCCCAGGACCCTGGGATCATGACCCGAGCCGAAGGCAGACGCCCAACGACTGAGCCACCCAGGCACCCCTATTAAAAGCTTTTTAATTTTTATTTTTAATTAATCTGTACACCCAACATGGGCTTGAACTCACAACCCCGAGATCAAGAGTTGCATGCTTTACCAAGTGAGCCAGCCAGGTGCCCAAGGGCTTGCGGGTTCCTTTGGCAGCTCTGCCCCCCGTGTTCCTATCTCACCGTTGGTTTCTATTCACAGGCAGGACCTGCTGACTTGAAACACTTTGACCCCGAGTTCACCCAGGAAGCTGTTTCAAAGTCCATTGGCTGCACTCCTGACACTATGGCCAGTAGTTCTGGGGCCTCGAGTGCATTCCTGGGATTTTCCTATGCACCAGAGGATGAGACCATCTTGGACTACTAGAAGAGAAGCACTTGTGTAGCCACTGAAGACAGCTGGTATCCCTCAGGAATTACCTTCCTTACCTTCTGCTGCTAGTAACAGAGACTCAAAGTAACAATGCCTTAAATAAGGTTACATATATTTTTCCAGCACATAAAGGAAGAATGTTGTTAGGTGGTCCAAGGCTGGTTGGACAGGTCTTAGAGACTCAGAAGCTTTCTGCATTTCTGCTCTGCCATCCTCGGCAATTGGCTTCCAATATTAGGACTGCCACATTGCCACGGAGTGGTTACTGGAGCTCTAGTCACTGCTTCTTTGTTCTGGGCAAGGAAAAAGGAGGCAAGGAGGGAAGAGCAAAATAGCACCTTTACAGAGCTTCCCCAGAAGCCCCCACCAATGGCTTCTGCTCATTAGCCATCTACTCCTACCTGTAATGGAGGCTGGGATATGTGGTTTATTAGCTGGGCACATTACTACCCCTAAAAACACAGGCTCTAATACTAAGGGAGAAGGGGGAAATGTGGGGTAGGCAACCAGCATCTCTCTACCAAAAGACCTCTTGGTGTTTGGATTTTTATCTCCATGTGTAAAATGACAGAGATGTAATAAGCCTATAGGCTATCACTCAACATGCTCTAATTTTTCTCTGTCGATGGTATCTTTTTTGTTGTTGTTGTGGGTGGTACTGGACATTTGTTATTAGGTTTGCCTGCCTGACACCTGAACCCTTTCCTATGTCCGGGGAATCTCCTAGCTCGTTAGCCCTGAAGGGGAGTAATTACCTCTACTTACAGTAGCTGAAAATGCTAGATACTAACTTTCCCAGCCTCCCCTGCTGCGAGGGGCCACATGCCCAGGGATGCACCTGTGCCAGATTTTGACTCAAGGAAGGGACTAGAAGCTTTCATGTGGTAACTGTGGTAACAGTACCCACAAAACCAAGTAGGATGGATCATGTTGCCTTATTTCAGTGGCAAAGTGGTCTTTTTTTCACAAACCTATGGTTCATCAGCTACTTCAGGGTGGGCTTATTGGCTTTTGGACAAGGAGAGAACTTTAAGATCAGTGTGTGCTGGCGATTTTATTGCCTCTTCCTCCTAACCCCACTCTTTCTCTTCCTTTTTATTTTTGCTCAGCTCCTTGCTCCAGGAATAACGGGGGATGACGCTGGAAGACCATGGAAGACACACCAATGACACTAACACTGACTTACTGGAGATCCAAGCTGGGTCAGGAAAAGTTACTGTTACCCTATGGCATGTGCTGAGAACTTTGAAAGAAACACTCTGATTTGGTTTCCATCATAACAGCAACTGTTAACTGACAAATGTGGAACATGATGGAGAGGCCCACATTCCCCCAACTTCCCAAAGCAAAAAGCGAGAGTGTAGCTGTCAGTTAACAGGACAGTACTGTCAAAAGTACACAACCTGCTATGGGTTGTGAAACACATAATGCTTCCATGTGGTCTAAAACTGTACAGTCACAAAATTTTCACCAGGATAGAAAATAAAAATGAAGAAGAACTCTAATATTGAACTGATCATGCTTCGTCTATGTTTACTGAGCACGTTCTGCATTATCAACAATCCTCACAATAGGGATGCCTGGGTGGCTCAGTCGGTTAAGCGTCTGCCTTCCGCTCAGGTTATGATCTCAGGGTCCTGGGATCGAGTCCCGCATCGGGTTCCTTGCTCAGCGGGGAGCTTGCTTCTCCCTCTCCTGCTGCTGCTCCCCCTGGTTGTGCTCTCTCTCTGTCAAATAAAACAACAACAACAACAACAAACACAAAAAAAAATCCTCACAATAAGCCAGCATTTTAGAAATTATTAACCTCACCTTACAGATAAGGAACTTTCAGAGAGATTAAGCAACCTGCCCAAGGTCACCCAGCTGGTACAAGGCACAGCCGGGAATTGAACTTGGTTTTCTACGAAACACTGACCTTACATCAGGCAGAAGGAACGCCAGACCTGTCCAAACCCTCAAGTGGCACAGCCTACACCCTCTCCAATGGGAACACATCACTTCCATCTTTATTAATTTTGCACCAAATTACAGCATCCCCATCAAGAGAATTCTCTTCTCTTTTTACCTCTGCAGTAACAGTAAAGGCAACGAGTTGCGTGTTTCAAGCTCCTAAAACTGCTACTACTCTGTACCTATTGAAGATTGTAACAAACATAAATGTAAACCCAAACTGCCCGATGTCTCTGCTCTTGGTTTGGACCCGCGAGGAAGTGGCATTGCAGTCCACACTCTCTCAGGGCGGGCAAGGCGCGCTCCCCTGGAGGGAAGGGGGGCCTGTTTGTGGTTACCGGCGCCTGGCTTTTCATTTTGATGGCGATGGCAGGACAACCTCTATCTGGCTTTGCCTCTTTGGCATAGCAGCTCCTTCTCCAGCCCTTGCCTTAGTGAATATTACACTTCTTAATGAATATCAATCATATCTCTGTTCATCCTGGGAGCCTTTCAGACCAGTTCCGGGCCCTCACAGCTCCCTTAGTAATACAGTTTATATTTTCACTGTTTTGTAGGATCTGGCCAAGGTCTAACTCCCCGTCTGCGGAGGCCCCGAGGGCGGCTTCACCGCCATATCCCGGGCCTGGCACGGTGGCGCTCAGAGATGCGGGGCTAATCAACGAGGAAGAACTATCTCGAGTTGACCATTCGCACCAAACCTGCCCACCCTCCCCCGGGAAGGCTTTCCTGGGCTCCCAAGACCCCGAAGCCCTTCCACACCGTGCACGGAGCCGCTAATCTGGGTTCTGGGCACCTCCACCCCGGCGCACGGTCCAAACCGCAGAGCTCCCCCCCGGTTCGCCCCTCCGCTCTGCACCTGCGCCCCTGGGTCCAGGCTGGAGCATCCCCCCCCGTCCCGCCGGAAGCCTTCGCTCTTCTCCGTCAGGGTGGAGCGAAGTTTGGGCCGTAGGGTCCTACCATTTTTATCAGTCTCTAAGAATACTTGATGTTAAAGGACGAAGCGCGACGGGCTTGTCTTTGGCATAAAGTCAATTCACGTTCTGTTTGGGTTTACCCCCTCATCCAAAATAATGGTACCTTCCCCTATTAGCTCCGCCCCCCGTCCGCCAGCCCCGTGACGCTCAAGGCGGAACGGCGCCTTTCGTTCAGCCGTCATCGCGTTGCTCCGGGGGTAGGTCCACGGCCCAGAGCACGCCTGCCCGGCGCGCCGCCTCACCAGCGCCGTTGCTAAGAGGCCTTGGATACCTGGCGGCTGGATGCGGGGTGGTGTCAGGTGAAGATGGTGGTCGTTGGGCCTCAGGTAAGAAGGACTCCGACTGTGATGAGCCGGCCGGGCCGTTGGGGCGGCCTGGGAGCAGGCGAGGGCCTCGCCGGCCTGTTCTTGAGGCCTCTGGGCCAGTCTTGCGGAAAATCGAGATTCATGGGGGTAAAGTAAACTGGGGCCGCGGATATAGGCCCGGATCCCGAACGTCGCACTGGGTTCGAATCCCCGTCGCCTGCGACTGAGCGGATTTTTAGTCGTCTTGCTGAGTTTGAAAGATCATTGGACGAGGAATCGTAACATCTACAAGAAAGATCACTGGACGAGGAATCGTAACATCTAGTCTCAAACCCTTTTCCTAGGAATCGTGCTCCTAGGAATTTGTCCTACAGCAAAAATAATGGCAAAAGCAGAAGTATGTAAATTCCAGTGTCTTTGTGATGGCAAAATCATTGAAAAGATGCCCATGAAGGCGGTGGTTGAGTTCATTATGGCATAACCACGCAAGAGAGCGTACAACCACGAACCTAACCATGAACACTTTTCTTTTAGGAAAGTGGGAAAAGCTGGGTACAATATTGTATGTACACATGGGGAAGACAAGCGTATACACGGATGGTTGGAACGTGAAAAGATGGTGGCGCTGTGATCATGAGCCTTTTTTTTTTTTTTAAGATGACAAAATGACTTTAAAGTTCAACTGGAATAAAAGAAATATGTGAGGCTAGGCAGGAAAATTCTAAAAAGTAAGGACAATAAGGAGGATTAGCTCTGCAGCACCACCAGATAGTATAAAGTTGTAATTAAAATAGTATGGAACTGAGCAGGAACGTACATGCAGATAGAACGTAATGGGATTCAGAATAGATCCAAATACAGATACCTATGGGAATTTATTATGTAGTCAAGGTGGGTTTTCTTTTTTAAGATTTTATTTATTTATTTGACAGAGAGTGAGAGTGGCAACACGAGCACTGGGAGAGGGAGAAGCAGGCTTCCCGCTGAGCAGGGAGCCCGATGCGGGGCTCGATGCGGGGCTCGATGCGGGTCTCGATCCCAGGACCCTGGGATCATGACCTGAGCTGAAGGCAGACACTTAACGACTGAGCCACCCAGGCGCCCCATCAAGGTGGTCTTTCAAATCAGCATTGAAAGGGTAGTTTGGGGGTGCCTGGGTGGCTCCGTCGGTTAAGTGTCTGCCTTTTGCTTAGGTCATGATCCTAGGATCCTGGGGTTGAGCCCCCTGTGGCAGGCTCTCTCCTCCACGGGGAGCCTTGCTTCTCCCTCTCCCTCTGCCTGCTGCTCCCCCTGCTTGTGCTCTCTCTCTCTCTCTGTCAAATAAGTAAATAAAGTTGTTTTTTTTTTAAAGATTTTATTTATTTATTTGAGAGAGAGAATGAGAGGTAGAGAGCACGAGAGGGAAGAGGGTCAGAGGGAGAAGCAGACTCTCTGCTGAGCAGGGAGCCCGATGTGGGACTCGATCCCGGGACTCCAGGATCATGACCTGAGCCGAAGGCAGTCGCTTAACCAACTGAGCCACCCAGGCGCCCCAAGTAAATAAAGTCTTTAAAAAAAGAAGAAAAGGTGGTTTGGTGTCTGGCAGCTTTCTAGTAATAAAAAAAAAAAATGAGTCTCATTTTGATCACTAAAATAAGTTACAAATAGGCCAAAATTTAAATCTTAAAAACTGACATAACAAAGTACTGGAAGAAAGCATTGTTGTATGTATTTGTAATCTTGGCACAGCAGAAACTCTTGTAAATATGTCATGCAATCCACAAGCCAGAAAGAAAAAGATGAATACTTCCGACTCTGTAAAATTTAAAACTTTCTGTATATCCTGAAAAATTCCACCAAACCAAACCCAAAAAGCTACTAGAAGCTAAGTCTAAAGACAAGTACATTTATGAAAGTATTTAATGATCAGGTAGAAAAATATTAAACCCAGTAGAAAAATGAACAGAGTACATGAGTAAGAAAATCAGAAGAAATACAAGTGGCTGATACACACAGAGAAAGATAGCCATCTTACTAATGTCAAAGTGCAAATTAAAACAGTGGGGACTTTTTTTTTTTGCTCATTTTACTAGCAAAGATGAAAAAGATTGGAAATAGGATTATTTACAAACAAATACATTAGTATTAATGGAAGTAAAAAATACAATTTTTGGAGGGCAATTTGGAAATAATTTACTTAGCCATTCAACAGGTAGGAATTTAGTCTACAAATAGGGATAGTGCAGAAAACATCATGTTTAAGGATAATGTTTGTAGGGGCTCCTGGGTGGCTCAGTCATTAAGCATCTGCCTTCGGCTCAGGTCATGATCCCAGGGTCCTGGGATCGAGCCCCGCATCGAGCCCCGCATCGGGCTCCCTGCTCCGCGGGAAGCCTGCTTCTCCCTCTCCCACTCCCCCTGCTTGTGTTCCTCTCTCGCTGTCTCTCTGTCAGTTAAATAAATAAGTAAAATCTTAAAAAAAAGGAAAAGGATAATGTTTGTAGCATTGTTTTACTAGCAAAAATTTTGAAAAAAATATGTTCCTCTGTATGATTGGTTAAATTATGTTACATCCATAAATGCAATATTGTGTAGCAGTTTTAAAAAATGTGGTAGATCCATGTGTACTGATATGGAAAGATAAAAGGTTAGGTTAAAAAAGTGTGTTGCAGAATAATGCATATTATAGGATCCTATATCAAAAAAATTGTAAGTTAAGGGGCACCTGGGTGGCTCAGTTGGTTGAGCGGCTGCCTTCGGCTCAGGTCATGATCCTGGAGTCCCGGGATCGAGTCCCGCATCGGGCTCCCTGC